GATAAAGATTGCAAAGGAGTTGTTTTGGGAGACTTGTACAAATAATTTATTTTTAATATTTATTTTTTATTCTTTTAAAATTTCCCTTTCTTTTACCTTCTAAACTTAGAGCCATGATTAAAATTATTATTTTTTCTTCTACTAATTATATTTATTTCTATTCTCTCTCTCTCTCTCCACCAATATTCATCAAATTTCCAAGAATATTGCTGATTTTTGTGGGACTTGTCAATTCAATCCACCAGCAATCACATGTAATTGTCATACTTTTCCACTCTTTTAGTCCAAGCTATTTACGCGTGCAATAAAGTTCAACTACAAAGGGCCCCCAATGTCTCACCTGCAATAATTTGATTCCAATTCAATTATTGGTACTTTTTTTTTGGTGCACTAACTTTCATTTAGAAATGGCTCCAACGTCTTGAAAAAAATAATTTGATACCAACTCAATATTTCTTTACCAACTCAATTAGAAAGAGCCCCAACTTACATGGTTACTTGCAAATGATTCTTAAATTTAAATTATTGAATATTGATATCTACCTAGCATTAGTCACTACATCTCATTCCCTTTGTATAAACAACAAAGTTGTGACATTTCAAGAATATCTGATCGAGATTATTAGATACAACGAGTGACCTGTGTTTTTATTTTCTTTTGATTTGCCTCAATTAAATCGCTTTTTTCTCCTCTGTTTCGAATCCATGAGTAGATTTTTCTTCCTAATTATTTTTAACTTAATTAAGTTTTTCTAAAACGTTGTAGAAAGTGGAGTTGTTTGTGTGTGAATGATTTTTTTTTTTCTCTGTTTAAGAAGGGAACACAAACAAATTGGATGACTCAATTGCATCTATTATTAGAGAAGGGCCCAATTGTCTGGCAAAGGACAATTTGATACCTACTCATTTACGTTTCTATCTCTTCCGACGAAACCATACACCGTATAATTCAAATCCTAATTCCAATTCCAAAGCAAGAAAAATGGACGAAATGCCTATGGTTCCTGCCACTTTCCAACTTGTAGTGGAGAAAATCATGATTTCAGATTTCTTAATACTAAAGGCTCCGTTTGGTCTAAAATCATGATTACTTAATACTGAAGCTTCTATTTGGTAACCATTCTTTTAAAACTATTTTTTTCGCACTCATTTTCAACTTCGCATTCTCACAATAAAATATTGTTCGTGAAAATTCAAAACTTTTCCTACTTTTTAACCATAAATTCTTCAAAAGTTACTATTCAAAAACTCATTTTGTTCGAAAAA